CAAATGTATCAAAGTTGCATGTTTGTAAGACATGGGAGAAGGTAAATGGGTAGCACTCTTATTCCAATAGTTGCCATCTTAAGTTCTTTTCGGTAACAGTATGACTCACTCTTGGGCTCAAATCCCCCAACCACACCATACTCTTAATAGCTATCAGAAGGCTATCTCTGCTTTTCCAAAAATGTTTAGTAGGTTTGCAGGTCCTTCTTAAGCACATATGGGAGTCCATGGCAGGTCATCTCAGCCATGTACCCTGAGACAATGCAGGCCGGGCCATAAAAGTTGATATCCTTCCAGATGCGAACCAAATGTGGACATCATGCAACTAAAAGAAGAAAAAAAAAAAAAAAAAAAAGGTGGTAGGAAGTGAGGGGAAGACGTGCAGGATTTCTCACATTGATCATGAAAAGCTGACCCAACCCTTAGATGGCTGATAACAGAATGTTGTGGGGGAGAAGCATCTCATGTGGAAACACTAAATAGGTGCAACGTTTGATCCAAAGGAACAGCTTGCTTTTGTATAAAAGTCACAGGCATTTAGGACAGACGACAAACTGTTTAAGCAAGACAAATTAGTTGATACAAAATCTGCCACAATCCATCCCATCCTTCCAGCAGGGAAATCTTTAAAAACTAAGACCATCCCTCTACCACACTTAAGATGATTATGGTCTCACATATTGTTAAACATTGTATATTTATATAGCCTACATATATATTACAAAATATATTTTATTCCTCACAAACACTCTTAACAGAGAGATTAGAGTAATATCTAAGCACATCCAATGGCATTTTGCATCAAATTTGTGCTAATTATTACATGAACACAAGTTATGATAATCTTTTGCAAAACTGTGCAGGAACATAAATGCACGAGTATTCAGTATGTTGGCTGAATGTATTGAAAGAGAGGTATGACTAGCCAAGCTGACCTGTAAACAACTCAGTCCAAATATATGAGCCAAAGATCAAATAGGCAATACAAGGTAAAGACATGTAGAGGAAAAGCTCAGTAGCACACTAATCAGCCCCCTCCAATGCTCACATAGCAGATCAATGAAAGACCCGGGGCCCTGGGCCTGCACTATATTACACGCCAAAACTTCATATTCATTCATTGATTTTACTTTTCAGAATAGTATATCACTGAACTCCAATGGGAACGAAAAATAGAAGCCGGAGCTGAGGTCAAGCCTCGCGTGGACGGATGTTTGCACAATATTGATGGCGCAGACAGAAAGAAATGACTAAATATCTGGATCAATAACTAGTTTCCCTAGCCACGACAGGTTGTGCCGGATGGAAATATATAAATACTTCTTTATGACTACTGGAGTTGCCCTAACGAACAGGGCTAAATGCCCCCCTTAAGGTAAACTCTTTGATTAGGCAAGGCCAGAGGTGACTAGAGGGCCCTGCTTATGCTACAATGCCACGCTTCTAATGGCCTGAGAACACTAATGCACACAGGGGCCCAGTAAAGGGGCCACATATATGACAGGTCACAAGCCCTGGGCAAAGTGATCTGTGCTACCTGACCCTCCTACTCATTTGTAATGGTGATGGACCCATGCAGGCTACACCACTCACAGTCATGTTCAAATAATGCATACTATAAATAATTAAGAAGGTATTTTCTTCGGCTTTCACATGAAGTCATTTTTCTAATTGTAATAATCAGAACTGAAACTAGCAGGTCCCCTACGATTAGGCCAGAAGAAAACAAATTTGAATTTGAAATACCTCAATTTTTGGCCACATGGAGCAATGATGATGTAGAATTAAATATGTGGAGCACTATGTAATCAAACCTGGCCAGTAGCCGGGTAAAATCTTGCACCTGCTGCTGCTGATGGGATAAGAGCTGAATGTTCTTATTTACAGCACAACACAATTACTGAGAACAACACCCAAGCTCACAGCTCTCCCTGCTCCAAGCTGGCCAATGGGGCCATAAAGAGGGAGGAACCACATCATTGCCTGCTCCTTAATTAAATGAAAGCTGTAAGGTTCGTTTGCCTCCTATTTTACACAATGAGCTGGCCAACCCACTGCTAAAGACATCCTATTCACCATCCCCGCTTGGCCCTAAATCATGACTGGATAAACAGCCCTTTGGGTCCCTGTTAGACACACAGCGGCCGCCCAGCGGCAAGGCCAGAGCAGGGCACACAGTGGATTGACACCTAGCCAGCGATAAGTAATTCTGTAGAGGATTAGCAGCATGATAGCTTGATCAATACTGTGTGCTCAGGCCATTAGTAATGCAGCGAGGAAATGACCCCCTTCGGTAATAAAGCAGGGCATCTGGGTTCTCCTTCATTTGCCAGCTCCATTAGTGTAATGGTATCATTATCTGCCACAGCCGTATTTTTCTGAGCCTTGGCTTTTCCACAGTTCGACCAATGGGGGTCTAATGAAGCTGTGCGAGCCCCCATGCCGAGTGTTCCCTTTCTACCATTCTCGGCAGAGCCACGAAGTAAATCTAACTCTGTTGGAGCTTATGTGCTACCCCGCCTTAGGTATCCATACCAATGTTTTATGTCAGCACCAAACACTATTTCTACATTATTGGCTCATTAATAGAGCAAGCAGCGTGTAGCTTGGGTTAAAAGGGAGAAAAAGATGGCCGGCAGAGTGCAAAGCTGCTGAATGTGCAGAATCTGACACCCCCCTCTTGCTAAAACACCAGGCCAGACATGACAGGACGTCAGCATTAGTCCCCATAAATCGTGTCCTTTACACTAATTCACCAGCTAACATTTTGTGTGGGAGAATTGATTAACCATGTCTGGATGTGTGGCCACATAATCAGCTTTTACCTCTGTAGTTGTTAATTTAACTGAATTGCCAAGGGAAACACAAACCATTTTAATGAGTGTTCAGAAATTAAATACCCTAAACAGCTTGCACTAGGTGCCACAACCAGAGCAAACCAATGAGGCTGATCTAAGCAATGGGCTGGGCCGAGCCCGGGACCTCACAACATCTGGTGACCCTGTGTGATCATTACTTAGCCTGCTGCTCACACACACACTTCCTGTTTCGACATAGCACTTTATACTTGTCATCGCTGTCCAAGTGGCGAGTGTGCATCAAAGACAGCGTTAAAACATCGAGTTACAGGACCGGTCGAAAGCTGTTTTCACACTTGCCAAAGCACGAGTGGAAAATTAAACAGTGATGAAAACACTGATAAAACTTGATCAAATGTTTTTAATTCCTAGGGGTGTAAAGCGAGACAAATGAGACAGAAAGCATGAAAGTATAGCTACTTGAGAACATGGGACAGTGAACAAACAATTAGTGTCTCAAAGAATGTCTGCTGAAAGCCTAGCTAATCTAACTTCAATTAAAAGAACAGTTATCACATGTTTTGTAGTTATTTATGTTGTGTGGGTGTGGTAAGTTCTCTACCGTCAGTGAGGCCAATTAAATGTTCTATAACACTTTAAATATATTGACTATGAAATTTCAGTGGCAGACCTGCTGTGGTAGGATTTTCTGAAGAGATTATGTATTCCTTTGTCACTAATCTTTTAGTGCTTGCATTCCCTAACTCAGAATGACAGACCCATCATGGCACATCTCTCACTTTGTGCAGCATTGCAAACACTCTCGCTTACTTGTTAAGACAACCATCATATCCAAGTTATAATAAGAACTGTATCATTACACAAGCACTGATATAAAAAAAAATAAAAAATAGGCCAGAATGCATGTCAAATCCTTCCTTAGGATGCTCTACAGTCATATAGTCATATTGCAGTTAGAGTTCCTCCTGCTCATCTTTTTATTTATCTAAATGGCAAGGAAGCTAAGCCATTAGGTCTGTGCTGCCTGACTGCCTGAGGGCCAGCTGGAATGAGTTCTCTCTCTGAGCCGCTCATCTGGCCGCTGTGGCTGCTTTCATAAACAGGAGGAACCACGTCCTACATAGTTTCACTGCTGTCTAACATGATCCAAACACATGTGCCACAGCAGACGGCGTCCAAGTCAGGCGATAAGAGAAGAAACAGGCAGAGAAGAAGAAAAGACAGACACTATAGGACAAACAGGCGATACAGGGTCCAAGACGCCTCAGGCAAAGGAGAGTCCTTTTCCTTCCTTTTCTTTTCGCCACAGAAAAACAAAGTTACAGCTACTCGGCATGTGGAGGCGTGATTAGGCCCGGGTCAGCAGAAAACACAGTTAAACACACGAGTAAGCCTACACGCAACAGTTGGCCATCACATGTTATAAACACACCGTGTTTGGAAATCATCCTGCATACATGCCGTGTATAACACAGCTGGTTGTACAGTTAGCAGGAGTGTGTTACTTAGCAACACTTCACACAGCATTATCCAAAAAGGTGTTGTCACTTCACTGTAGGCTACATCAGAGCTGCAGCAGGCCTAACTCTTCTTTGTATGGGCTGTAGGCTGCTGGCCTGGCACCTGGCCAACTCTGAGGTAAACTACGCATTCATTTTAATATTGTTTCTAGCTTATAGCTTCTCTTACTCAGCTGTTGCTACTTTATTCATTTTTGTTTCATTTTTCACTGTCTACACAAAAATAGTATCCCACATTAAACTTCTAGGTAGTTTCCTGCTTAATTGTTTTTTTATTAAAATGTCAGCCTAGTACATAACCTATAGAATATTTTCGACTTTTAGGCTAATATTTTCCGACAAATAAAGGCGTCTACTGTCTACAATTCATGTGTTTCGGCTAGTTTTCAACCTCGAGCTTCTTATCAGCAGTGTATTAACGTGGTAAATCACTGTTTTTTGTAATGTAACTGTAATTCTTCATTGTGGTAGACTGGGGGGAAAAAAAAAAAAAAAGGAAAACACCATAAAGCAAACAGGCAAGGTGAGGTATCCGCTGACATTCGCGGTTTCCTAGCCTTCAAAATGCATCCAGCAGCATCACATAAGGAGCATTAGACATTCAACGAGCGACAGGGCTTAGAAATATGCCAGACCTAACGGAGAAAAACGCTATCAATACCTTTCTTCTCTTCTCTCCCTCACTGTCACCCGATCTTTTCATGTTCCTGGAGTTGTGTTTACACTGCCTCGCTTGCATCAGGGGTGACGCTGGTTATTGTAGTCCGCGAATACACGGTATCTCAAACTATTCTTACATACAAAGTTCTCAAGCTAGATTTGCCCTCTTTTTTGTCTTAGTTGGAGCTCACCTATGAGTGTTTTCTGTGTCAAAAGACTTTTTGTTGGGGAATTTTTAAAGGAAACGTTTATAGCCCAGCTATGAGAACTACATGTCCCAGATGGAGCGAGTGCTTGCGGCGGAAGGAGCTTTGGCACACTCTAGAAGTTGCACTGAGCAACTGCACCGCAGGTACAGATCTACGAATGAAAAATATGCTCGTCAACGTGGTTATAAATCAGCGATTTAAGATCAACAGTTCTTAAAATGGCTGTGACGTTTAACAATGAAACATTAAGGGGCCAAGAGAGCTATGTACCAGTATTTTTGTCATAAGGGCCTGCTTTAGAATAAATAGCCTATCAAATATTTTCCTTAAAATAATCTGGTCTTCAACATGGATATTCCATATGCTTCCTCTTTAGCTAAATCAAAGCAGTGCCTCTTTGATCTCAGACTATGTGTAAAAATAGCAATCATGCTTTGAACTATCCAGTTCAAGTCCCGCCAACGTTCTTTCAACTCTTGCATGCATTTCAAATCCAGGTGCTTTTCTGTCGGTGTGGGCTTCAACCATGTCAGCCCTTTTCAACTCACTACCGATCATGAAAGAGCACCATAAACTTACAGCCTCAGTGTGGCTGCGTTAATGCATCACCCACAGTTGAAGTCCCTTTAAGAGTTCATCCAGATTTCCCATAACATGTTTTGAATAGTGCTGAAATGTGTTCTGTCCATTGTTCCTATCAAAGCACATGTGAAATACATAAAGGGTTTCACAGATGGATCAGCAGCGGTGGTGGTTGGAAGGTGGTGCAGGGGCGGATTGCAGGGTTCTGAAACACCTGCTACATATTACCTTTACAGACTTTGATCAGTGTCTTCATTAGTTTCCTTTGTAATCTCTTTTCTTTTATGGTAAAGCTGACCCAAGTGAGACCCGTACAGTGATTTAACGCACATGTTTCTTTCACCTGTCTTGTAAAATGCTCAAAAGTTCTCCCACTTTCAAAGATGCCGGTGTCTCTGGCATGCCTTTCTAATAAACGGACGGGGGTTCTTTTGATTCCTATTTATAACCTACATTTCCTTTCCTCTGTCCTGGTCTTCCAGGGGTAAAATATGTTTGAAAAATGCCCTTGGAATAATTTTGTGAAAACTAGATCCATGTGCATGCTTATTTTTCTTTTAGATACCTTTTTGTCAGCCCCTTGTGCTTTTTTAGAGCTACAATGAAGGAAAGCAAACTCACTGTTGTAAACTTTTTTTTATCCTACAATGCCAAACTCTGCCTTCATCCAACCTCCTTTGCCCAAAACCATCAGAATGTACCTTTTATGAGTCAAACTCCTTCACATATTCACGCAGTCAGTCCCCCTTATGGTTAACATTTAAGGAACAGTTGGTTCCATGTCCGACTTTTAAGGCTAAGTCTGTAGACCTAAATTCTTCTTGATTTAAGTGTGAGGCCTTTAATGGCAGACAAATAAGATGGACCACTTGTCCTACAATCCTTTAAGTAGCTTGGTTTGATTTTGTCACTTGTGGTCCAATTGTAAGTCCTTAAGCCCCCCCATGGATAAAGGATCATAATTATGCGATGAGAGCTGGATTATTCACAGAATTCAACTTGTGTTTTCTTTTTTTTCTGGTAATGGGGTTTTGTTGAATGAACATGTCATTATTGGCTAAAGGAATAGTTCAACATTTCCTAAAATATGCTATTTCTATGCACAGAGTAAGTTTATAAGATCAATACATTTCTTATTTCTGTCTAGTAACTACCATAAAAGGCTAAAGCTAGTTTGCTTAGATTGCCAAATACTAGAACCAGGGTGAAACAGCGAGCCTATATGTCCTATGTTCAGTAACACCAGGCTACCATCACCTCTTTATCTCATTTAGTTACGTGTATTTGAAGACCATTTGGTACTGGACTACTCAAGATCAAGAAAAAACAATCCTACAGGAAGACTTTTCAATGTCCCCATTTGAAACCACAGCTAGACATTTTTACACACAAACTTGAAAATAAAAAAAAACACTGGTAGATTGAAAATGATGAGCTCCAAACAAGGCCAGGCCTTCTGAATTATCTTGAATACAGTTTTGGGGGGAATACAGATGGGCTGCTAGCTGTAGCTTCATATTTACTATACAGATATGAAATGTATTTACTTTCTCATCTACTAGCACATTTTAAATACACCTAATTGTGGCTAAAATAATTCCCTTTACCCTGGCTCTGAACTTATTTTACAAGCCTCAATAACCAACAACCTTATAATAAAGTACAAGCTGTAACTTTGGCAAAAAAACCCAACCCTCAATTCAAAACATAAACCCAATCCATCAATACTTTATGCTATTTTTGAAAAAATTATCATTCATATATTCTCACTGTCACTGTGATGGTCTACATGTCCTCAAGATTAAAGGTCTCTGGATGTTTTTCGCTCTATGGTCAGATTTGAAAGTCTGTGAACAATCATAATGTACACGCTCTTATGACGGAGGCAAGCCAATTACCTTCTCCAACAATGTCTGTCATTTGTCCTGCAGTAAATCAGGCCCTAAAACAGGCACCTTCCCTCTCATGTCCAACCCCTGCATGGCAGGGTCATTCCTATTCTCCCTCTGATGCGGTATAACATGGGACGAAGGCCAAAAAAAAAATCCCTTTGAACCTCTTCCACCATCATATAGCCCTCTTTACTGGTCTGTCTGCACTCATGATATGGGTATGTTTTCTGTTATTGGACATTGCATCAGATCTGGATGACCCCACATAGTTCTTTTCTAAAGAAATGACTGTAAAGAAATCAGCAGAACATGGTACTATAATGTAGTAAAGCACAGTAAAGGAAGACAAAAGCCATTGTGTTTTTTTCTGTATTTAATCCAGAGCCAATGCCTGCACTTGAAACTTTTGCATTGCCTGAAGATTGACTCACACTAAAAGCACATACTTTGTGGGAATAATCATATTTCCGATGTAGGAGTTTCTATAGGGCCACCTAGTTTGTATTATTACGTTATCAAGTTAGAATGCGGTTTCCTAAAAGAGGAGGCAAACTACTGGAAAACAATACAGCCAGGCATTGTCCTGCACCACACAAGACCTCTGGTGAAGGTACTGTTAGAACTGTAAACAGCATGTTTTGCTCACCACAATTTTAGCCAGGGAGTATCAAGCCTCCGTAAAGACAAGCTCTTTTTTTTTTTCTATATCGAATACACATATGGAGCAAGTATGTGCCTTCTCTGCTTTCTAACCTTCATTGCTTAGCCCAAGGAAACTGTTATTTGTCAGTGCTATAAAGCAGATTGCTGCCCAGTGGTTTCAATTAACATCAAAGAGCTCTTTGCAGGCCGTAATAGTTATATCAGAACCTGAAATGTATTATTTAGGTTCTATGCTGTAATCCTCCAAACGATTATGTCGGTGTTCAGTCGAGGGGTTTCTTTTTCTTGCCGACTTTTTGCATCCCATGTACCCCACCGCCTCCGTCTGGTTCCTTTGAAGCACCCCCACACCACTCCTGCACGGTCTCTTTGTAGCACCAGGGTACCTGTGTGGCTCACACCCGGTGGCCTATTAGTTACAGGGAATAAAAAGAGCCACTAGTGATGGAGAAGATGAAAAGTGATTTAGAGCTACATGGGTTGTTTTTGTTAGATTTATGGTAGGTGTAGTTATTAATGTATCACTTGAGACGTACAAAATTCTTTTACATGCATAGTGCAAAGTAGAGAAATGCATGTTAAATTGCAGGTGAGTTCCTTTTTTTGAATAATTTTATAATAACAGTCTTGAATCTAACGCTAACTTCATATCATTTTTATAATCAAAATCTTACATGGCGACATCAGCTCCCTTATTAGTTAGATGTAGGATTTTTATCATGTTAGATACCAACAATAATACACATTTTTTGCATAATGATCTGTATTGTAACCAGGATTTGGGTCCTTTGAATCACAATTAAAAGAAGTGACACTGAAAGATACATTTAACCAAACAACATGTCTTTTGATGTGAAAATCAAACAACTCCCCTCTCTGGTTCATAAAGGTCTTTCCTTTTTTTTTAATGATATTTCACCGGTGCACTGACGCCACACACACTTATTGAATTAATTTGCCCATGCCAAAATGTTATGTCTAAGTAAGCAAGTTATTAATCCTAGAATAAAAATGTTTTTAAATCTGAGTTAAATTTGAATTTAAAGTTAAATGAATGGCATTGTCATTTGGTGAAGTTCTTTTCTGCCAACCCAACACAGAATAACAGCAGGATGAAGAAAGTTTTTTCCTTTAATCTTTTTCCCAAAATGATGCTATGATCAATAAAACATATTGCCTTCCACATATAGTCTGACTTCCAATCACTATTGTTTATAGAGAAGTCCAGAGGATCAGTGCAAATCATCTTAAAATGTAGTCATTCATTAGGATTGTTATGGGAACAGGCGTTCCAGACTTGATTGACGGCTTTTGTCTTACAAACTACCTGTTGTTAATTCCTTGTGAAAAATTATTATATAAAGTGACAAAAAAAAAAACCCTCTGCAAGAAAAGAGACGATTTATTGTCTTTAGCCCTGACCTGGAATATTGTTAAAAACCTTGCAAACTCGTGTCTCATTGCTTATGTGCAATAGAGACTATTAAAGATGGGGTACAAAAAGTTCATACGTCATTCAATGCATGTTGATTATTTCTTAATAAATGTATATAGCGCCACAGGAAAGAGGCCTTTGGTTAGCGAACAGAAAGCGCTCGCAGCATAAGGTCTTAGATGTGGTGCGTCTCCTTGCCTGGGATCACTTCCAGATCCTGAAATAAGGAAGTGCTTTGCCATCGCTGTGATTTCAATATCATGATCACTGAGCACTTTTATAAG